CCATAGGCAGTATAGGAATTGGCACCATAGTGGTCCGACTGGACAAAGCAAACAAGCTTCAACATGGGGAATTCCACCGCAAGGGTTTGTGCCATGACATGGTACTTAGAATCCTCCACCTCCGGACATGTATCGTCAACAATGCAATAGTGGTGAAGGTTCCACCGAGCTTGGATAAACGAATCGTAGAACAAAGCTTCTCCTCCGGCCCTTGTATGGTTGGACATGCAAAAGGCCCTGGATATCCGGCCAGCAGCAGAGAGTGTGTCCGTGAACTTCTCCATCTCCCCTTCGATTTCTTTTTGGCCAACCACTTGGCGGTTTCCTCGCTTGTTTTCGAATAGCCTGACAAGCATCAAACTCGTCAACCACTACCTTGTCCTTGTAGCGTTCCTTTGACCGGTGGCATGTCGAAAAAGCCAACTGAATCTCATGCATGGCACAGTAGGCATTTCTCCACTCAGGTTGCGGCCCACCAAATAGCGCCGTGTTGGTAGTGTCATTCATGGCCTTGTAGATCATTCGGTCCTCAATACCAAAAGCTTTGAGAATATCCATGATCTGATTCGTGGTGCTCTCCCTTCTTGTCTTTAATTCCGCCACTGCAACGGGAATTTTAGATAGACACCCCTTTTGGGGTTGTAAAAGAAGATCGTCACTCCAATTATTCCTTCTTGTTAGAGTCCCAAACGTCATGAGCAGACAGTAAGGAAAGACTTATGACAACAAAGGTTTTCATATAGTACTGGTCCGTCTCTCCTAGATGCATTCCAACCGCAGCCATGAAAGTTTGGTAATCTTTGGCTCTGTAGTTTGTATGTGCCATGCGTCCCATCAAGGCATTGTTGGGACATTTCAGAAGAGCCGGTCCATTCTGCATGGCATAGATCATCATGTCTCTGAATTCAGGACATGCTTTGTGGTCCGTCAAAACACGAAGAGGAATGTTGTTGTTTGTAGAATACCGATGCTGTTTTTTTGAAATATTGCAAGAGCTGGCTTTTTCCAGCCTCTTTACTCATTTCATGAACCATAGACCTTGGCTCGGAAAGGTTACTATGACTGATTGTGCTGAATGTTGTTGCGGTACTTCCTGGGGAACAGGAGGAGCTGCAATTGGACCTACAGCAACAGCCGCCACCGATCGATTGCAAATTGTCGTAACGGAATCACCTCTTTTCCTTTTGGATTGCTTGCCACATTGGTAAGTTTGTCCTCGAAGGTGTTTGCCAGGATTGCCAGTGCCATCAATCCACCTGATCCATTTCTTGTAGGTTGGCCGGATTAGACATTTGGAAAGTGACTTGCTGGTATCCTCGAGGAATGAACGACACGCCACATATTGCTTCCCCGAAAGAATTCCTTGATGAATCTTTTGGTAGGCCGAATCATCCAAAGGTTGGAGGTTTCCAATGTTCGGGTCGGGAATGTCGACACTGTAGTACATTCCCAAACGCCAGAACGGCCGGGTGGCTTCGATGAGCGTGGGAATACTCTTGGCTTGCACGAGTTGCAGTCAAATAGTTCCCATTGCCGCGGCCATGTTTCATCGGCAGCTGCAGCTCTTCATCTCTCCTTCTTTCTCTTCGATATCACCTTTCTCTCTGTTCCGGTTCTTCCAATCCATCGCTCCATTGACAGCTTTCCTCAATCGCTCCTGTGACAAGATGTCATAATCCTCCACATCAGCCAGGTGACAACAGAAGACAACAGAAAAAAGATGGCTAGCTAGAGTCAACAGGGCTTCAAAGCTTAATGAACAAGCTCAAGTGAGAAAATGGGAAATTTATGGGGCTGCGAGTTGGCGAAATACTCACTCAGGTACTCACAAAAAGTTACTCACCGAGTACTCACTGGTACTCACTTCGAAGTACTCACCGAAGTACTCACCGAAGGACATCAAAAAGTACTCAGAATCCGGAGTCATGTGAGTACGGGTATTGAGTATTACTCACATTTTCGAGGGTCAAGTGAGTATGGGTATTGAGTATACTCAGTACTCAATACCCGTACTCACATCGTGTACCCACAGCGTGTATTTCATGTGAGTCCCACACCCTGATCAAAACAGCCAAATAATGCGGAGCTACTAGTACCTGGCAGCCGTATTATGAACTTGCAACTAGCTAGCTAGTTACTAGCTAGAGTACCGTAGTGCATGGTACATCTAGCTAGAGCTCATGTATGTAGTGTGATGAGCGCTTCCGAAGAAACAAAGGCACTCTCTCCATCAAGGAGCAAAAAGTTTCTTCCCTTCACTGCGCACTTGAACTGCAAAACTTATTACAATCAGGTACCAGAAATATTCTAGCTATTGATATAGTTCTAGTAGAGAGACTGCACCATGCCGGCCTATTCCCGCACCCCTACGATTTCCAAGGACGGCTTGTCGACGATTGTGGATGACGAACCAGAGGATGGGTTTGACGATGAGGGAAGTCTATCGTTGGGTTCCTTGGACGGTGTCGACCAGAGTCTGACGCAAAAGTCGTCGTCGCAATCCGAAGAGTACCGTTTGAACCTAGCCCGTGACGAGACGAAGCAAGTCTTTCGCTTGCGCTTGCTGGTGTTTTTGGTCTTGGCGTTGGCCGCGACGACCGTGTGTGTGTTGGTGTACCTCGTGACGCTCCAATCGGAAGAAGAAGAGTATCAGAATCAGTTTGAAGGAGCCGCCGCCAAGTTGACAGACTCCTTTTTGGATGTCGCCGGATCTCGACTGGGCGTCATGGCCAGCTTGGGGGTGTCTCTCACCACCAGCGTCAATGACAATGGTCAGCAAGAGTTCCCGTTCATCACCATGAGCAACTTTCAACAACGAGCACAACCCATTCGCAGTCAATCGGGCGCCGTCTACATGCACTTCAATCCATTCATCATGGAAGGACAGAGAGTCGCGTGGGAACAGTTCCTTGTCGGACCAGAAGGATCCAAGTGGTTGTAAGTGAATGGACAGAATCGAGTTGCGGGTTGCCTCGTTGCCTCGCAGCTCACATTGTGTCTTGTGTTCTCCTACACCACTCCTCTACCGTACCGGTATGCAGAGACGAAGGTTTGGCGTACCAGGATGAGATTGGCCTCTTTGCGTATGAGGAGGACCTTCATGGCGGAGGAGACGTTTCCGATGATCCACATGCAGGACATGGATCCACCGGCCACGAGGGACAGCATGAAATGGACGGCACTTCCATGCATGCTGGCGGTGGTGGCGGTGGCGATGGAGAGCACAGTCATCATCAGCAGCACGCCGAAGAAATGGAAGACACTACTAGCGCGGCGACAACAGTTACTGAAGATAGCATGAATCACACGGGGGCTTCTTCTGGCCATGATCATCAGAACATGGACCAAACGGTTGCTCCAACCACACAACATCATCACAACGACGGCTCGGGTATGAGCATGGCAACCGCCTCTCCACAAGATCATACTCACACGGAACACCACGACAACAACATGGTCAGCACAACTGCCCCAAGCCAGGAAGAAACCGAAGAAACCCAACCGCAGCATTCCATGACGCAAGAACCGTCCTCCATGGGCCATCATGATCATGACATGCCGCCGTCAAGTGGCATGACGAGTAGTGGGCACGCAACAACAACTGCGCCTTCTGCTATTGGCGATGGAATGCATGAAGATCACACGATGGTGATGACGCAAGAGCCAACCACGATGGATTACATGGCGACAATGAACAACGGAACAACCCATCATGCCATGGGAATGAATGCCACAATGAGTGGCTCCATGTCGTCGCCAACATCCTCCTCCATGAATTACCCTGACGAAGCCATGCAGCACAACGGCACAACCCATCATGCTATGGCAATGAATGGAAACATGTCCTCGCCAACAACGTCCTCCATGAATCAGACAACCATGCAACACAATCATCGTTCACTCGAAAGCATGGACGCTCATGCCGGGCACGACACCGAAGATCCCCACGCAGGCCATCAAACAAACGAACCCAATGCAGGGCAAGACAACGAAAATTCTCAGGCAGACTTGCACCACGACCACGACGTTTACCTGGCCTTGATCAGCGAGGAATCATGGTCCATCTGGTACCACAACGACAAAAAAGAACTCGTCTATGATGAAGGTCCAGGTCGGTCCTTCTTTGCCCGCTTGCATCGTTGGCTCGTACTAGTCTAACAGCATACTGTCTTGTCGCTCACGTTCCCTTTCTGCGTTCGTTTCACCTTTTCTAGGTCCATACATGCCAACATACCTCTCGAGCCCCATCTTTTACAAGGGACACGAAACCAATGAAAACATCCTCCAATCATATGGTCCAACTGGTAGCTACAAGGCATTCTCCACCGAGTCAGTTGTAATGAGTCAATTCCTCAACGCTCCCGCTGGAAACAAGTCCTCGGTGGACCCAAAAACTGCCTTGTACGCGAGACTCCTGAGTGCCAATAAGCAAGCAGTTGTTGCATACGAGGGAGACCCCTTTAGCCAAGTGTTCATCCCGGTCTTTGATTCTCTAGAGCACAACAAGACAACTGTGGGCGTACTCGTCGCTTGGGTTCACTGGATGAGCTTTTGGTCCAATCTTCTACCATCCAGTTTGCAAAGTATCATCGTCGTTATGAGTGATTCTTGCCAGAATGAATACACCTACGCAATCACCGGGACCGAAGTTTCGCCACTGGGAGAAGGTGACTTGCACGACCCTCGCTTTGACGACATGAAGAGGTTTGCATCTTTCGAAGCCATCGACAGCATCCAGGATGGGACCAAGGACGGTCTTCCATTCAACAAGGATGAGTGCTCCATCAGCATTGAAGTGTATCCATCACATGAGTTTTATGACACGTACAATACCAGTGCTCCTGTACTCTTCACTTGTTGCATTTTGGGTATCTTTTTATTTACTGCCATTATGTTTGTCCTCTATGATCGGCTTGTTGAGAGACGTCAGGAGATTGTCATGAGAAAAGCAACCCAAACAGACAAGATTGTCGCTTCGCTCTTCCCTGAGAATGTAAGGGATAGGCTTCTCCAAGACACCAAAAGCGACGTGGGCAACCGCAGCTCGAGGTTTCTTGCTCCCAGCAAGCGCGTGAAGGGTTTCCTTTCTGGGTCCGAAGATGACGAAATTGATGATTCTCCCATAGCTGATCTCTGTAAGTGCCTTGCGCTCCAGAAAATGCATGTTGTGGAAGGTGACATTCTGACCCCTGTCCTGTCATCACGAGCAGTTCCATATTGCACAGTCCTGTTCGCCGATATTGCTGGCTTCACGGCTTGGAGTTCGACCCGTGATCCTTCGCAAGTGTTCATCTTGCTTCAGACTGGTAAGTTGGTGCCTCCGGGACAGTTAGATTTGCTGAGAAGCTAGAGTCAAAGCTGAGTATTCCGCTCCACTGTTTTATTAGTATATCAGGCATTCGATCGAGTGGCAAAGAGGAGAAAAGTCTTCAAGGTTGAAACAATCGGTAGGTTTGGCAGGCGGTAGGGGGGATGTTGGCTTCTAAAGGTGTTTTGAGAATTTCTCACATTACAATCTTCTGGATTCTAGGTGATTGCTATGTAGGTACGTTTTGAATGGTGATAGAGGGGATGATGTCCAAAGGCTGACTTGAGAATCCTCACATGTCTTCTGCAGCCGTCACCGGCTTGCCTGAGCCCCAGACAAACCACGCAATCATCATGAGTCGGTAAGCTGATGTTTGGACACAGTACTTGCTTTTGGCTGCATGCATCCTCTCATCTGGTCCAACGTTGCAGTTTTGCTGCCGAGTGCAATATCAAGATGAGGGACTTGACTCATCGCCTTGAAAACACGTTGGGACCTGACACCGCGGAGGTATGGAATGGTATTGAGTTTCCTTTCGCTTTCCCTTTACTAGCGCTAACAGAAAGTTGCTTTGTTTCAACTACCGCAGTTGGCAATGCGGTTTGGAATGCATTCAGTAAGTGGCCTGTTTGCAGGAATCTTGTCCAGCAATCATAAATTGTACACGCTGACTTGTTGACACTTCTCCATCTGCACCAACCACAGGGGCCTGTGACAGCTGGAGTGCTGCGAGGTGATCGTGCTAGGTTCCAGGTGAGCACGGTACATGGGGCTCGTGTGTGGTCCATTCAATGCTTCATTCAACCATCCTCATTCTCCTTCCTGTAACGCCCTCAGCTGTTTGGAGATACTGGTATGTTCTAAAGCGAGCGTGTTGATAGAAAACAAGAGTGAGCAAAGACTTGACCTCACACGTCAAATATTCATATTGGGTTTGTCTAGTCAATACTGCAGCTCGCATGGAGAGGTACGTTCCGCAATAGTGCTGCAGAAGTATGTCCCAGTCTTTGTGCTCACCTCCAATGCCACCGATGCCGCTGTACTCGTAGCACTGGAATCAAGGGGCGCATCCATTGTTCTAAGTCCACGCATGATCTACTTGTGCAAGCTGGAAGAGAGGCCTGGGTTCGGCCCCGTTCCGATGTCGTGCAAGCCAAGGGTAAGTCGCCGCTACGTACGGTACAAGAAAGGTGAATGCGAGATGTCCTGCGGCCGAGATATGCTAATACGTAGCTCATACCATATTTTCACTCACTTTTTAAAGGGAAGGGAGTTATTACGACATTCTGGGTACATGCACATGCGCAACAAGGCGGAGGTAGCAGCATTGGAGCGTCAAGCAGAAGTCTTACACTTAGCAAGTCATCTCATCATCAGCCTGCCTCAGGCTCATTCAGCGTACACTCGAGCAGGACGCGTTCAGAGAAAAAGGACCGCCTAATAAATTGGATGGTGGAAGTCTTTCGCGAGCATATCAACAAGCTGCTTGCAATGAGGGGAAGTAAGTCAAGCTCTCCCATCGAATATGTTCCAAGCGAGGGGAAGACCAGCTTGGACGAAGTGGCGGAGGTGATTTACTTGCCCCGTTTCAACGATTACGCGTTCGATGCAAGCTTTCAGCAGTCTTCGCGAATAGACCAAAGGGCAGCTGAACAACTTCATCAATATGTTTCAACGATCGCCTCAAATTATCATGACAATCCCTTCCACAATTTCGGTGAGAAGCAAGCTGCTAATTCCATCCGCATTCGTTGTTTGCCATTCCGTAGCATGCGCTTACACATTTGCGGTTGCATCCGGCCTTATTTTGATGCTGCAGAACATGCCTGTCGTAAGTTCAGTGCATGGAGGGGTCAGAACTGACATGACTTGGATGCCATGCTAACCGTTCGTTTGGTTGTTACCCAGACGTCACCATGGCCTGCAACAAGTTTTTGCAAAGAATCGTTCGGCCAGACATTGCTGTGAACGATGGACAAGGCACCGATATCGCCAACAAGCTCCACGAATACACACACGGAATAAATTCCGATCCCCTCGCTTTGTTGGCCATTTTGTTCAGTGCACTGATTCATGACGCGTGAGTTGAACATTCAATGGCTTTTACTTGCTCTTTGTTCACGTTATAGCAACGTCTAACAAACAAGGTGCTTCATGTCGGATCAGGGATCATCAAGGAATTTCTAATCTACAACTGGCAACGGAGAACCAAGCGCTCGCAGAGCGCTACCGCAACAAGAGCATCGCAGAACAGGTTTGTTGCAGCACTCTGCTACATCTGCTGCTTTCGCTTGATGCACAATTGACTCACTCTGAACGAAATTACGAATGCATGTGTGTCACCAATTCTCTCTCGAACTCTCTCTTGCACGCACTCTCCTACAAGAACTCTCTGGATCTTGCATGGGATCTCCTTATGCAAGATAGGTTCATTGACTTACGGAACACACTTTTTACAACAAAAGCTGAACTGAAGCGCTTTCGACAGGTAAACCTGCTCACACAGAACTGTCCCTCTAGCTAGAAATGAAAAGGAAAATGCACCTCACCTGATCTCATCTACCTCCTATGACTTGCCCTTCATCCAGGTGCTAGTCAATGTTGTGCTTGCTACTGATATCTTCGACAAGGAACTCAATGGACTGCGAAAGGCACGTTGGGAGAAGGCATTCTCCAGTGATACAGTTTCAGAAGAAGAGAACAATAATCTCCGTGCAACAATTGTCATTGAGCACATCATCCAGGCCTCGGATGTGTCACACACAATGCAACATTGGCATGTCTATCGTAAGTGGAACAGACGCCTCTTTCAGGAGCTCTACAAGGCCTTCTGTGAGGGTCGCATGTCCAAGGATCCCAGTACTTTCTGGTACAATGGGGAGATTGGCTTCTTTGATAACTACGTGATCCCACTGGCAAAAAAGCTCAAGGATTGCCAAGTGTTTGGTGTGTCCAGTGATGAATGCCTCAACTATGCTCTCCAAAACAGAAACGAGTGGGAAAATCGTGGCGAGCAAATCATGGAGGAAATGGTGTCAGAAATCAAGCAAGAAGTTGAGGCTTCACGTAACGACGCTCAGGCCAGCTTGAACGGAGCTGTTCTGAAGCAAGAACAAACCGCTGCAAACGCACCTGTGAAGACCAAACAAACAGTAAGCAGCAAAACAGGCGTCTCTCCTGAAGGCCAGAGTCAGCAAAAACCGGGATCATTCCGACCCATGTCTGCAGCTCATCCTGCGCCTTCACTTGCTCCAACAAAGGTATCTCTTATTTCCCAAACTTCTGAAAGTGGTGCATGCACCCCTGGAGCTCTGCCTCCTCCTCCTTCCACATCTGTGACTCAGAATGCTATTGACTGCTAAATAGACTCCAGGTTCCGTACAAATCTACACTGTAGCTGTACTAGTAGGGTATGGGATGAGGCGCCTTCAGCTTGATTGACTTCATTTCATTAGATGCGGATGTCTGCCAGTAAGACATGAGAAGAACATCTTTCTGCTGAAATGATTTGAAGAGCAGGGGCGGAAATCAGACAGAAGGAGAACTCTTACTGCAACCAAGTCAACTCCGTCAACTCCTGGCGCTGCGTTTTGCTAGCCAATGAAATCAATCGAAAAAGAAGGAAGAGGTCTTCCTTGAGATGTTGGAGGAGACGCATCCTCTTGTGCTGCTAGGCACTCCTTGTGGGATGGGTTAATTTCCCTTACTCCTTGTGGCACTCCTTGTGCATTAGTTGGCAATCCCATCAGACTTATTTTGCGACACCTTCCTGCACGGTATCATGTTGGATGCAGTTCCTAACTAGTTGCTGGATTGAGATCTACACCTCTGAATGTTGAAGTGGCTGATTGATTGGCTACTAAATTAGAATTTGACAGCAGCAAGGCCTACAGCAGCACCGCCAAGATCCGAGAAAGCGGGGATGGTGCCCTGTTCAACCTTGAGGGTGGGTTCTAGGCCTCCATACTCCCCTACCTTTTGCAATGAACCATCTGCATCTTGAATCGCGTAAGCTCCGATTGTACCAGAGCCGGGGAAAAGCTGGTACAAAAAGTTTCCGGAAATCAGCATCTCCAAGGGGAAACTATCAGCTGCCTCGGAAACAGCGGCGGCCGACTCCAACAACGTCATGGAACCATCCGTACCATCAATACTGTAGCTGGTAATGCTGTCGCCAAAAAAATTAGCTCCATAGGCATAGCGACTGTTGTACTGTACCATCCAGCAAATGGTTTCTTGAAAAGTTGGAACGCTTTGGGAGATCACTGTTAGCGTACCATCCGCGTTCACCTTGTAGGATGAGACGGCTTCATTGGGGGCAACAGACTCAGTCAGCAACAGGATGAGGTCATTCGTAGTCGGGAGTTTGGTTAGTGCAAAGCCGAAAGGGACGCGGTTGGCAGTCTCTGTGACAACTGGAATAGATGATTCAGCAACTCCATCTCGATTCAGATTCCAAACCAAGACACGGCCGTTCCCCGTTGGAACGACCCCAGGTACAAGACCTTCAAAGCCATCCTTGATCGTCACCACCAGCTGCTTTCCGTCAGGTGTGAACTCTACTTGCGATGGCGATAGGTTCTGATCGGGAGGCACCTGTGAACCACCTGCATTAAGGCTACGAAAAGAATTAGGAATCTGTCGAAGATTTCCATCTGGCATTACTTCGAAGCCGACCACACTCCCATCAAAGGCAGCATTCATGACGTAAAGAACTTTGTTGTCATTGCGAATAGCAATGCTGGAAGGGAACTGACCTCCACTACCCACAACTGCAACAAATTCTAGCCCGTAATCGGCATTGACTCGGAAGGAGCTGACAGTATTGCTTTGAGCATTCACCGTAAACAGAAAGGTGTTGCTTGGTCCGGTATTCCGTGTGACCGCAATGACATTCTGAGATGCCAAGGGATCCGCTTGATATAATTCACCAGGTCCTGAACCAAGCCCTCCTGTTGGTTTGCTGCCTTTGTATTCAAGGCTCCCATCAGTTTTGGTATAGAAAATGAGCAACTCGTTATTTGTGGCAGCATTACTCAATGTATAGAGTGCTCCAGTTGTCAACAACGAATCAAAAGTTTGGCCAAGCTCTTGAAGATCACGACCAAGGCTAAGATTTGCCTCTCCCATCTCAGCGCCGGCGGTGGAGGGGAGCATCGTACAGGCCAACGTTGTCAACACGAGTTTAATGGCTTTGGCAAACATGATTTTAGAGTTGCAATGTTTCGGGGATTGTGTTTTATTATTGTTTGAGATGATTTTTGTGTGTGCGTAACATTTCCTCACCCTCTCAGCCAACTAAAGATGATACTATACTGTTGCTTTTCTTAGTCAGGGTTGTTCTGAAACCCAGAGTGAGAATTTCTTGCGCCTTTCCAGTGTGATGTGGGGACGTGAAATTTTTACCACTCGACAACCGCAAACCTCGCAAGCACCAAAAAGGCACACAACTAACTGGGAATGAAAACGAAAAAAGTGTGAATGAAAAGAATGTTTCGAAGAAGAATGATTGGGGGGCGTGCGGGAATCAATCAGTGCGCCAACGGTTTTTTCGTTGATTGAAGCACCGACAGTGGTACCGGTAGCAACCCAGCGAGTTGAAGTGCGGCGCACGTGCCATCTACCGCAACTGGCTGTGGGGAACCAATGGTCCAGATTGAACAACCGATCTCGTCCTTTCCTTGCAATCATGCTCGAGCGGCCACATCCAGTGGTGGTGGTCCAGGACGTACTGCTAGTACCGTCCGCACGGTAAGGCGCCCTTGGAAATACACGCCATGTGGTGCAACCCAGCGACGAAGTAAAAGAGTTCAAGATTGGCTCAAGAAGTCGCTACCAAGTAGTCAACCAGGTTGTGGCCAAGCGATGCTAGGCGGTCTGGAACTCTTGTCACTCGAAGGCGCGATGCCACACCATCATTACTGGCTAAGAAGGTACCGGTGGGCATCAAGAAGAACTAGAAAAGTCTAGTAGGAATAAGATGATTGGACCGCAAATCTGGCTAGCATCGCTATGGCAGCTATTGATTTCACCAGGACCTGAACATTGGTCCTCAGGGCTTTTCCCGCTGCGACGATGGATCACTACTGGTACCTTAAAAGAGGGTTCAGAGCTCTCAAACCCACCAATGAAATGTCGCCTTGTCATGGGGGCGCCTTCTGGCTGCACTCCCCGTGCACAAGGAACGGTTGGCAGAACAAACCTGTCAGCTCTCATGCTTATCATTGGACGAATGATCCAGTGTATCGGCAACTGAACGGACTTAGCTTGAAGCTTTGCGAAGCCTAGCAGTCGCTCTAACTTTTAAGATATCAAAGGATGCTCGGCGCGAAGCATAAGTCTTGACCACTACCGCGAGCGCCTTCAGGATCAGCAAAGAGCGCAGCCTGCAAGCGGAAGGGGGTTAAAGCTGCTTACAGTAACAGGTAGATGCCACGATGGTCGTTTGCTAGCTACCAAGCGTAGGCTTGGTGGCGGGCTTGATGTTGCTCGTGACAATGTCTTGCCTAAACAGAGTTTCTGCAATTTCGTCATTGATTCGACCGAAGACAGGAAGCATGTTAGATTTTGACGGTCTGGTAGTCATCTGTTTCTGTATAATAAATTTGGATTGTGGACATACGGCTAGACTTATTTGTATCATCATTTGGCAATTCCTCTGTCAACTTTTCGAAGATGACCTTTGTGTCCACGAAGCTTTTCTCGCTTCCTCGTCAAGATCCAGTAAATCCTTAGAAGTTGGTTGGGCCCAATCCGGGAGTCAAACTGGTACACTATGACTATGAAGGATTTTAGGTGATCATCCACTTGGCATCTCTGAAGTCCAGAAGCCTGCTTTACGCGATCCTGGTAGGATTTCAACAGCTTCCAAACAAGATCTCTTGCTGGCAAGGCAATTTGGCGCTGAACAAACGGCCCAATAGTGTATCTTTTCTGTTTGGCCACCACCTCTCCACTCACCTCTCATCAAGGCTCACAACCAACCTTGCTTGAAAAAGCGAAACGAGTTGTCCTTTCAAGCCGAAGCTACTACTACAGCTACAAGCAAAACAGCATCCACCATGAAGCAATCAACATTGAGTTTGCTCCTGGCGGTGTCTCTGGCGTTGGCGTTGTCCTCGCCATCTCAGGCGTTCGATATGTTCGGTCTCAAGCGGCATTCCGACAAGGACGGCGTCCGTCGTCTCGGCTCCCACAGCAAATCGGGAGACGAATCCGGAGACAAGTCCGGCAAAGACGGAGACAAGTCCGGCAAAGACGGCAGCAAAGACGGCAGCAAAGACGGCAGCAAAGACGGCAGCAAAGACGGCAGCAAAGACGGCAGCAAAGACGGCAGCAAAGACGGCAGCAAGAGCAATAGCGGAGATGGAACTGTGGACCTTGAGAAACTCCGAGAAAACATGAACAACTGGTTCCAGGAAAAAGACTCCATGGACAGCCTCGATGGTCCGTTTGATGCCGTCAAAGTTCAACAACACATCGACAAGGTCTTGGAGGTCATGAGGACCCACAAGAAGAAGAAATGCAAGAAGAACGTTGGTAAAAACGGAAAGAAGAGAGTCAAGAAAAAGTGCAAGAAGAAGCGTGAAGCCAGACTCGAGACGAAGGGCCGTGGCAAGCGCAAGCCCCAAAAGACCAAGGAGGAAGCCGAAAAGACACGTGTCCCAGGTGCCTGTGTCGCTGATCACTGGTGTGCCGAAATCCGTGGAGACCCACACATTGTTACGTTCGACAAACTCCGGTAAGCCAAGGTAGTTGTACTGACACTGGTTGCTAAGTGAGTGGAGTGGCACCTATCTAACTCCTTCTTCCTGTCGTTCACTGGACCCTAAAGATTCGATTGCCAAGGCGCTGGTGAATACATCCTCGCCAAGTCTTTGGATAGTCCCTTTGAAGTCCAAGGGCGATTCTCCAAAGGCGGAGATTCCAGAACTACCCGTTCTGTTTCCATCACCACTGCCATCTCCATCGATACAGGCGTCGGCGGCGCACCCGACTTTGATGTCTTTACAGAGGAAGTTGATGGAGAATGTGCCGTCAACTACTACGTCAATGGAACTCCCGCTGACTTTGGACCCAACGGAAAGAGAGTCGACGGTATTGAGTTTGATGACAACTACGAAACCGACAGGGGTATTGTCGACTACATCTTCTTCACCCACTCGGCGGTCATGTTCACTACCAATGCCAGAAAGGGAAGGCTCGGATGTGTCCTAGACTCCAAGCTGTGTCTCCCTCCTCAAATGGTTAGAGACGAACGAATCATTGGTTTGTTGGGATCACCCGACAAAAATGATAAGAACGACTGGATGTCCCAGACTGGAGAAAACCTCTTCCACGGAGGAGTTCTTGATGATACCACCGCACAGGCGTACTGCTCATCCAACTGGTGTGTTGCAAAAGAAGACGATTCCATCTTTGGATACCTCGACGACACCTCGTGGTCCGACTACCACGACTGTGATGGCAAAGCCGATGAGTTGCTCAAGGCACTCGAAGATGCTCCCTCGGAAGAATGTACACAGTGTTGTACCGGTATCATTATTGAAGCAAACTATAAGTGCTGCCTCACCGAGTGCGCCACACAAGGTACAGAAGGTTGTCGGGATGAAATCATCAGTCAGGAAGTCATGGAAAATGTCGAGCGACAGTGCCCTGAACCCAAGCCCGACAGGCCTAATGACAAGGAGCCTTCCTGTGGCTCAGTTCCCAAATTCTGCGCAGACACTGGTGCAGAGGTCTTCAAGGTGGGTGATGACTGTGGATATGCCGAATGTCCAGCCCCAGAGCCCGAAGAGCCCGGTGATGACAAGTCTGGACCTGATGGCTGCGGTCCTGAAGTGGAATCATGTCCCGATGGAACCTTCGTCCGCATGTCTGGTCCAGAGTGCAAGTACAAGGCATGCCCTTACGGTTGTGGTCCCGAAAAGAAGGAATGTCCCAATGGAGAGATGGTCTGGAAGGTTGCACCGTCCTGTGACGTTTACGAGGAGTGTCCTGTCGTGAAACCACCAGCTGAGGGATGTGGAGCCACTCCAATGCCCCCTGGTCTGCCCATTGGAGGATATTACGAAGGCAACCCCCAATGTCACTCGGGTGGATCCATGACACCCCTTGGATTCGATTTTGGCTGGAAGATGGATGGTTGCCAAGATGGAACTTACTTTCTTGACAGCACCCCAGCCGGTGGTGGAGAGATTAAGGGATCCTGTGGCATTGCGTCCGCGATTGAACTCAATGTTGTGTGTAATGCAGACAAATCGGCCACTCTTACTTGGTCTGGTGAAGGTTCATCCAATCTCGTGATCAAGATGAAGGGTGGAAACGGTGGAAGACTGTATGGTGAAGGCCACAATGGAATGGATTTCTTCGCTGGTCTCACTAACAAAGGAGGTCAAGCAGGCATCAGTCACATTGAAGTCTGTCTCAACTGTGTTGGCCCTGCTTGCTATGAAGTAGAGGAACCTGAAACCCCAGAAGAGCCTGAGGAACCTGAAACCCCAGAAGAGCCTGAGGAACCTGAAACCCCGGAAGAGCCTGAGGAGCCCAAGTCCGGATCCAAGGACGACAAGCCCAAGTCCGGATCCAAGGACGACACGCCCAAGTCCGGATCCAAGGACGACAAGCCCAAGTCCGGATCCAAGGACGACAAGCCCAAGTCCGGATCCAAGGACGACAAGCCCAAGTCCGGATCCAAGGACGACAAGCCCAAGTCCGGATCCAAGGACGACAAGCCCAAGTCCGGATCCAAGGACGACAAGCCCAAGTCCGGATCCAAGGACGACAAGCCCAAGTCCGGATCCAAGGACGACAAGCCCAAGTCCGGATCCAAGGACGACAAGCCCAAGTCCGGATCCAAGGACGACAAGCCCAAGTCCGGATCAAGGACGACAAGCCATCCAAGGACTCCAAGGAGGACAAGCCCAAGTCTGGATCCAAAGACGACAAGCCATCCAAGGACTCCAAGGAGGACAAGCCCAAGTCGGATCAAGGACGACAAGCCATCCAAGGACTCCAAGGATGACAAGCCCAAGTCTGGATCCAAGGACGACAAGCCATCCAAGGACTCCAAGGATGACAAGCCCAAATCTGGATCCAAGGATGACAAGCCCAAGTCTGGATCCAAGGATGACAAGCCCAAGTCTGGATCCAAGGACGACAAGCCCAAGTCGGATCCAAGGAGACAAGCCCAAGTCCGGATCCAAGGACGACAAGCCCAAGTCCGGATCCAAGGACGACAACCAAATCGGATCCAAGGTACAGCCCAAGTCTGGATCCAAGGATGACAAGCCCAAGTCGGATCAAGGATGACAAGCCCAAGTCCGGTCCAAGGATGACAAGCCCAAATCTGGATCCAAGGACGAACCCAAATCTGATCCAAGGACGACAAGCCCAAGTCCGGATCCAAGGACGACAAGCCCAAGCCGGATCCAAGGACGACAAGCCAAGTCCGGATCCAAGGACGACAAGCCCAAGTCTGGATCCAAGGATGACAAGCCCAAGTCTGGATCCAAGGACGACAAGCCCAAATCTGGATCCAAGGACGACAAGCCATCCAAGGACTCCAAGGATGACAAGCCCAAGTCCGGATCCAAGGATGACAAGCCCAAGTCCGGATCCAAGGACGACAAGCCATCCAAGGACTCCAAGGATGACAAGCCCAAGTCCGGATCCAAGGACGACAAGCCCAAGTCGGATCCAAGGAGACAAGCCATCCAAGGACTCCAAGGATGACAAGCCCAAGTCTGGATCCAAGGAGACAAGCCATCCAAGGACTCCAAGACGACAAGCCCAAGTCCGCATCCAAGGACGACAAGCCATCCAAGACTCCAAGGACGACAAGCCCAAGTCGGATCCAAGGACGACAAGCCATCCAAGGACTCCAAGGACGACAAGCCATCAAGGACTCCAAGGACGACAAGCCATCCAAGTCGGATCCAAGGACGACAACCAATCGGATCCAAGGACGACAAGCCATCCAAGGACTCCAAGGACGACAAGCCATCCAAGGACTCAAGGACGACAAGCCATCCAAGGACTCCAAGGACAAGCCATCCAAGGACGACAAGCATCCAAGGACTCCAAGGACGACAAGCCATCAGGACTCAAGGACACAAGCATCCAAGGACTCCAAGGACGACAAGCCATCCAAGGACTCCAAGGACGACAAGCCCAAGTCGGATCCAAGGACGACAAGCCATCCAAGGACTCCAAGGACGACAAGCCATCCAAGGACTCCAAGGACGACAAGCCATCCAAGGACTCCAAGGACGACAAGCCAAGTCCGGATCCAAGGACGACAAGCCATCCAAGGACTCCAAGGACGACAAGCCATCCAAGGACTCCAAGGACGACAAGCCATCCAAGGACGACAAGCCATCCAAGGACTCAAGGACGACAAGCCATCCAAGGACTCCAAGGACGACAAGCCATCCAAGGACTCCAAGGACGACAAGCCATCCAAGGACTCCAAGGACAAGCCATCCAAGGACTCCAAGTCCAAGAAATCCAAGTCTTCTGATTCTCCTGATGACAAGACCGGAGGTCCTGATAGTCCAACCTGTGGAACCAAGAATCCTTGGGATGGTTTGAACTTGTGGGAAATTGCTGATCAAGGCATTGATTTCCCCACCTGCGGTGATGTTGGTCAAGTTGAGTCACTTAAGGGTGCTCCCTTGATGAAGGGTGGTGAATGTGAACGGGTTAATGTTTGCTTTGGAAATGCTGGCAATGGCTGGATTCCAAAGACTGTTGACCGTGATGCCATCGGTGAGGACAACAATGGTCAAGGTGGTCTTGCCAGCTTCAATCAAAACAATGGTGAAAACAAGAGACCAAACTATTTCCCGGGAAGCCAGTCTGTTGCCAACCCGAATGGAGGTGCTAATGGTGTCATGAATGAAAACTGTGATTTCGTGTGCGACCCATGTGAAGAGTACACCTGTGATGATGGAACTGTTGTGAAGAGGATTCTCCCCACCTGTGCGTTTGCGCAGTGCCCAGATGACCAAGACAGCACTGATGTGACCACTGACATGGTCTTCAGTAAGTACTTTTGATGTTGTCATTCATTTTCTTTTTTCGGTTCGGTGGTCTCATTGTTTCATCCCTCCTTGTTTCCTGCAGCTCGTGGAGATCCTCACTTCAAGACTTTCGGAGGAGAGCTCTACGACTTCCATGGAGAATGTGACCTCGTTCTTCTTCACAATCCTGAATTTAAGAACAAGCTTGGCATGGATGTGCACATTCGTACCAAGATCACTGACTGGTGGTCATCTGTTGAGTCTGCTGCTGTCCGCATTGGAGATAACACTCTGGAAATCAAGGCCAATGATTCTGCCAAGGACTGGCTTTGGATTGACGGACAAGCAAATGGAGACTTGCAGGATGGCAAGTGGAATCGAGCTGACCTTTCTGGATTCATGGTCCGCTACAAGGAAACTAGTGGCAAGTTTGGGCTCACTCGCCAAGTGAACATCTACTTGGAGGGTGTAAAGGAAGTAATGATCTTGAAGACTTTCAAGTCATTTGTACGTGTTGACATTGACTGGAAGGAAAGCGAAAACTACTATGGCTCCACTGGACTCCTTGGAAGCCATGCTCACAATGGCGCACGACTTGGGCGTGACGGAAAGCCCATTGAAGACTTAAATGCATTCGGGCAAGAATGGCAGGTTTTGGCAAGTGAACCTCAGTTTTTCCACTCCTACGAAGGTGCTGTTGTGGCACCCAATAAGTGCATCCTTCCTGATATGGGTGTAACCAAGCAGGCACTGCGAAAGCGTCGTCTTGCTGAGGGCATGTCACGTGAAGAAGCAGAGGCTGCTTGCAACCACTTGGTTGATGCTGCTGAGAAGGAGGCGTGTGTTTATGATGTCCTTGCCACACAAGACTTGAATTTGGCCAGTGCTTGGTAAGCCATTCTGCTGACACGCTTCATGTGGATGCTGCTGTGGAAGGCCTATGTCAAGGTTGCGGTATCTCATGAGAATAGTTAAAGAGTCTCTAGGATGCACGATTATTATATTCTTTTATCACCGCTCAGTTGGAATACTGGTAAGCAGATAGCTAGCATGGTGAATGGGCAGACCTGTGATAAAACAGAAACGGCAGCTCAACCCAGTAAATGGGGTAACACTAATAGGTGGGCTCCGCCGAAGGTTTCACAGGAGAGGCGGCCAAAGCACAACTCAGCCTTTCGGAGAACGGAGGGCACAATCCCTTTTTTCTGAAACGCAACTGGCATTTTCAGAATGTTAGACTATTTCCCCCAATCCAGGAAACCAATATCATGCTTGAGCATGCCACCGCAGTCCGTGCCCGCAATTGAATTCATCAGAGATTCCGCATGGGTGCTGGAGCTTGAGAATTGGCGTGGCCTTGTCGCTCCGCTTACCAGGTACTCATCCCCGGATAAAAGAAGTGACCGATACAGTATAGCTGTCAATTGACTGATTCCTCCGCTACTACGTACCACACTCTAAAGGAGTCTTCCCAATCAATTCTCTGGTCCAGCGCCTGCTTTTTTGTGGTCAACTCGCTCCGAGTGTTGTTTCAATTATCGTTGCTCTTCGACGAATGGCAGCAAGTCATGGAGCGTTCGAAGATCACCAAAGGACTGTTGACTCTATTCCACATTAAGAGGGTCGTTGACTCTGGCTCTGCTGCTCATTTTCTACACCAAGACTGATAGGAGCCTTGCTTGAAGGCAGGGGAGTACGGATGCCTGGAACCCACCATAATGTGGAATAGGGTACCATCCCCCCTTTCTCGGATCTTGGTGCTGCGGCTGTCAAATTCTAAATTTAGTACCGTAGCCAATCAATCAGCCACTTCAACATTCCAAAGTGTAGTTCTCGATCCAGCAACTAGTTTGGAACTGAATCCAACATGATGTAGGAAGGCATTGTTGTTGAAGTCTTACAGGATTGCCAACTATAAGTGCCCATCAGCACAATAAGATGGATCTCCTCCAACCTCCCAAGGAACTCTGCCTTCTCTTTGACTATGTTTTACGCTGTCGCAGTGCGTAATCTCGCCGCCAGCTTCAACAACATACCAGTGCTTTTTTGCTTAGCAGTACTGTCTTCATAATTGATTCTCTAGTTTATTTTAAAAAAACAAGCTACCCCTGAAACAACACTCACAATAGTTCTCGTGTTGGCAAGTTGGCAATCCAATGGTCCCGGATCGTGAAGAGTTGATTGTATTGTTACTCGTTGTAAAATGTCTGTAAGATTGCAATGCAATGCGGATCGCTGATTTGGCTCTCTGCCTAGAAGTGGAATGATGACACGGTCCAAACCAATACCAAAACACCACTCCAACTGGACCGAATATTACGCCAACGAAAGAAGTGGACCAAGGAGGAAACAGCGGCACTGGTGGGTTCTTCTGCTGATGGCGTTGATTCATCTGTGGTGGAAGGCAAGTCTTCCCCTTCTTCGCCGACTCCAATGCCACTGCTGTTTGTGGCGTTGGTACTTGCGGCAGGAGTTTCGTCGGCAGCCACCGAAGGCATTGACGTTTTCTCCGAGTCTTCCGGCAGTGTTATGGATTCCGAGGTCGCATCCTCTGGGGTATCCTCCTTTACACCTACGGCATTGAGCAGAAACCTGGAGTAGTAATAAACGCTGGTTGTCGCGTCATTGACCAAGACGACCGTGACATCCAATAATATTCCTTCCACGGGACCGTTGACGAAGAGAGATCCTGCCACGGACGCCTTGTCATCGTTACTGGTATGCATGAGTCCTCCAACTTGCTCCGTGTCGACACATTGGACTTCGGACACTTGTGTCAGGGTATCGTTGCTAGAGACGGGCGCAATAGACTGTCGTAAGTCAACCACATTGGTGGGAGGGTGACCGACACGCATCAAAAATCCCCTAAAAACAACCGAATCATCATCTGAGGAAATTTCCAGAATATTTTCTTCTCCAACTGGGAAGAAACCCGTTTCCTCAGTAGTAGTATCATCACCAATGCTTTCCATCAGAGGAGCACCATTCAAAGAGACTACCAGGTTGGCATCGGATAGAAGACCGGTTGTGATTTCTTTGCCCTCCACGGTATGGAACGAATTCTCTACAGCTGGTTGGCCTCCAGGACAGGCACCCACGGCAGACGGAAATGACTCGACTTGGTAGATAACCAAAGAGAGGATTGCCCAAAATGTTGATACGGATATCGCAGACATCATCGTAGTTCTGTAGTGCATATATGGTCTCATCTATCGATAATTGCAGGAACAACTAACTGACCATGCGACGACGATTTTTGCTCCCTCATTCGGAAGTCTCCTTTGTTTCCGGCACGCAAGCCCGAATTCAAAATTTGAAAAATCGCCCCTCTTCGGTCTGGCCTGTGCTTCTAGAATTCTGTCACCGCGAGGTACGATCGCACAACTTTCTTACAAATCTAAGCTAAGTATCCAGGAATGGATATAAAGGGAGTACCGCAAGATTTTACTTCTCACTCTTTGAACTACAGAGCCAACCATGGTGGTCGCGAAAGATCTCGAAAGCTGAACCAATCCACTGCACCAGGTGCGATCTGGTATCATAGCTCTTGCGTCGATCCATGGCAGCCAATGCAATTCCAGCCGGTGTATCCTTGCGCTGTCTGTCCCAAAAGATTCTATGTACTGCTGGGTACCGGTACATTTTCGGGCTCACTCCAATAGCTAGCTAGCACAGTCAACAACGGTGCGAACTATTCACAAAATTTTCCTTGCCCTGATCAAACCGTTCCGCAGCAGCAGTCGCAACTCGAACATCACACCGGCACCATGTTCAAGCAACTTTTCTTCATCGCGGCGTTGATTGCCACTGCAACGGCAACATCCAACCGCAAGCCTGTAAGTACCGGTAGCTCCTAGCTAGCTAGTTGTGGCGACAGCTCTTTCCAGCAACCGCGATACGAGGCCTTCCTAGGAGGACTTCCTACGCGTTTGTCTCGTGTGTTGTCGTCCGCCTGGTTGCTAGAACGTAATATCAACTCACTACTTGTTTCTCTTTTTCATTAACCGCTACCCGTGCAGATTGCCAAGGATAAAAAGATGGAAGAGCAACGTCGGTTGAAGGCACCTTCCCCCACTGGTAGCAAAACTCTCCCTACCCCTGCTGTCACTGGTGATCCTCACTTTGTCATGTGGTCCGGTCAGAAGTATGACTTCCATGGTGGATGTGATCTTGTCCTTCTCCAAGATCCTGACTTCAATGATGGACAAGGACTTTACATCCATATCCGTACCAAGATTGTACGTTGGTGGTCCTATGTTGAGACTGCAGGTAAGGACAGGAACAAGCACCGGAATTTGCTTTTTTGAAAGCCCACAAAGAACTCACCTTGTGCTGAAAACTTGCAGTGGTCCAGATTGGAGATGATACTCTTGAGGTCATGGGTGGTATGGAACCAAAGCAACACTGGGTCAATGGAAAGGCTGGAGACAAGTTAGATGAAAGCAAGCTCATGTCTTTTACCATTGGTGGCTACCCTGTCCGATTCCGTCAGCTGACTGACAAGTCCTTCCAGTTCAAGATCTTCTTGCCAAATGACCAGAACATTGTCTTGAAGGCCGTCAAGGACTTTATGCGTGTGGATGTAGAGAATCCTCATGCTGACACCTTTGCAAAGAGTGTTGGTTTGATGGGTAGCTTTGATACTGGCAAGATGTTGGCCCGTGATGGCACCGAATTGAATGATGCGGATAAATTTGGAAAGGAATGGCAAGTGCACCGTACTGAACCCATGCTCTTCCACTCTGTTGAGGGAGTGCAACACCCAGAAGAATGTGCTATGCCCACTGTGCCGCAAGACCAACGCCGATTGGCTGGATCCATCTCTCGCGAACAAGCCGAGATTGCATGTGCCAAGGTGGATGCTGAAAACAAGAAGGACTGTGTCTTTGATGTCATGGCCACAAGTGATGTTGACATGGCAGGTGCCTACTAGGAAGAAAACATGGCTTCCAAAACAAAACCCAACACAACAATTGCTTTGAGAACAAACGACGGGCGGGCTGCTCATTCATATATATTTTGTAGGAAGACGCTGTGACAGACAAGCGTCCACGAAAGTGTTCAAAGAAGGTGATATCTCCCAAAAAGATGCAGCAGCAAGTTGGCTGTGACAAGGCTACTAGTAGTGCCTCTGGGGTAGAAGTAACTCTCTAGTAACACATCGTGTTTAGTTATTTTCCTTTCTGCATGTTTAGCTAGTAGGCAAAAATCCTCGGCTCGAGCCACAACCGTGCACTACAAACCGTTACGATACAATACAAGACGACAGAGCGATGCCTATGCGCTGAAAGGGTCGAATGGAACCTCCAAAACCAACTGTCGCCTGTATTAACTTGTAATTACCTGAACTACGGTAGTGCTGCCTGACAGTTCCTCTTTTGCGGAATACTTCACTCCGAGTCGAGAGCAAAAGCCACTCATTTATGTCTCCATGGATCCCGCAAAAGCCAAGCCCTTCTTGGCCCACATGTTGCTTGGCTGGTCCTCAATTCAACTCCCCTGATCCCATCCAAACAGCACCTAGCTAGCTGGTCCTCCTGCTGAATTCTGACTCTTCTTTGCCAAGCCTGGCCCTCGCTGGCTTCCGTACCATACTACTAGTAGTACCTAACCTCCATAATCTAAAACGATAACGAAGCGCAGTACTCGCTCGCAAGAGAAGCTACAAGATCGGGTTTGCAGCCTTCGATGTACAACCGTGTTGGAACCTCCTCTTCAAACGACGGCAGCAGGTACACCAGGTGGTACTAGTCTAGTAGCTCACCAGGTCCTGGTGGTGGCTTGCCTGGAAGGTTTTAGGGCATGGATTGAATATTCGATTCGTGGATACAATTGAGACGTGCCAGACCCCAGAGCAATTAATTTGAGTGCCGCAAGGTTGTGTTGTTAATTCTCCGCAAACATCCTTAGCCTCACAAGGAACTTGAGGGCCAACACCTAGAACCTTGCAACATTTCTATTTGCAATCCGATGGCATCACAATCTCCTCCATACCAAAAGTTGACAGCAAAACGCAGCCGCTACACAGCCGATCATGATCAAGCAACTTTTCTTCATCGTGGCCTTGATGGCCACTGCATCCGCTGCAAACCAAAAGCCGGTAAGTTGCGAAGAATACTTCCAACCAACAGGACCGATGATTCCTTTGAGGGCATCGCGCCTCAACCCTGTTCACAAACGTCTAAATGCCCAGTTTTCTTTGCTCCTTTGCAGGTTGCCAAGGATAAAAAGATGGAAGAGCAACGTCGGTTGAAGGCACCCGGCCCTACCCCCCATGGACCACTTCCACCTACTCTTCCTGCTGTCACTGGTGATCCTCACTTTGTCATGTGGTCCGGTCAGAAGTATGACTTCCATGGTGGATGTGATCTAGTCCTTCTCCAGGATCCTGACTTCAATGATGGACAAGGACTTTACATCCATATCCGTACCAAGATTGTACGTTGGTGGTCCTATGTTGAGACTGCAGGTAAGGACAGCAACAAGCACCGGCATTTGCTGTTTTGAAAGCCAACAAAGAACTCACCTTGTGTTGAAAACTTGCAGTGGTCCAGATTGGAGATGATACTCTTGAGGTCATGGGTGGTATGGAACCAAAGCAACACTGGGTCAATGGAAAGGCTGGAGACAAGTTAGATGAAAGCAAGCTCATGTCTTTTACCATTGGTGGCTACCCTGTCCGATTCCGTCAGCTGACTGACAAGTCCTTCCAGTTCAAGATCTTCTTGCCAAATGACCAGAACATTGTCTTGAAGGCCGTCAAGGACTTTATGCGTGTGGATGTAGAGAATCCTCATGCTGACACCTTTGCAAAGAGTGTTGGTTTGATGGGTAGCTTTGATACTGGCAAGATGTTGGCCCGTGATGGCACTGAAGTGACTGATGCGGATAAGTTTGGAAAGGAATGGCAAGTGCACCGTACTGAACCCATGCTCTTCCACTCTGTTGAGGGAGTGCAACACCCAGAAGAATGTGCTATGCCCACTGTGCCGCAAGACCAACGCCGATTGGCTGGATCCATCTCTCGCGAACAAGCCGAGATTGCTTGTGCCAAGGTGGATGCTGAAAACAAGAAGGACTGTGTCTTTGATGTCATGGCCACAAGTGATGTTGACATGGCAGGAGCATATTAAAGGAGAGTGACCCAAAGGAAAGATTGGCCTCAGCTCAAATTTTCTCTCATCATGTTTGCCCTGGAAGAACAGTCTCCCAATAAGACGCTCTTTCCGAAGAAGGAAGTGGGCCAGCCTTCTTCTACTACTTTGGTAGTAGGTAATGGAATATGCGTCCATGCTGAGCAGTGGAATGAATAAAACTAAAGAAGTTTTTCTAGAGTTCTGTAAACAGGATCATTTTGTATTGGATTGTGCAGCTGAAACCGCTAGCGCCAGCTAGAGTAAGTCTAGCTAGCTACAGTGTAGTGGGAGTGATGTAGAGATTCTGACAAATTCTGACCTCTCAGTCTTAGCCGAAAGCGGAAAGAGCTCCCTGTGCTGGGGTCAGTGAAATAATTCCCGTCGCATGCTGGGCGAGTTAGGCAATAGAATGCATGACCCTGTCCACTATTCCAAAAATGGGTACTAGTACTGGAGTACAGAACTACAATGGAAGTTAGTGTACTGGATTGATTCAATCTGTAAGCCGGGGGTGTTGCAGGGCATGGAACTGCTGACCACAGCGGATCTAGAACTAGTAGCCTGTCGCATGCTATCAGTACATGTACCCGACTTGTCTGAGTTGAAACCGACTTGCAAGATCCTACAGGAGACAACCAAACCCACCAGGGATGCCTACGACGATTACGAATCAGAATTTTTAAAAGTAAAACCACGTCCACTAGACAGCAACTAAGCAAATCTCTATCATCGATAATAACAACAGCTGTACCCTATGCTCCTCTCAATGCAAATCTTGTTCAGGTTAACATTCTTTTCCCGTTTCAGTCCTCTTTCTTCTGCAATTGGCAAAGTTTCATCCATAGTGATTCGATTCGAGACAGTCCCTCATTGATCTCGGCAGTGCAAAAATGTACCGGTAGATTGGTGGATTGCTTCGATACTTCCTTGGCGTCTTGAAAAAGCAATATTGACCTACAACAGAGCAATAGCCACACCTGCTAAGCCAACCACAGCAGCTATTTGCGCATTGGTAGCCATAATGTGTGCTGCCCCACTTCCATCGGTAGGGGCGCTGGCTGGTGCATCGCCAGCAGGAGCTGGTGTAGGCTTTGGAGAAAACGTCTGTGCAAAAGTTTGATTCAAAACTTGCGAAGTTGGACCCACAGTCCCTACTTGGCTGTCTGGATTCGCCGTCACCATTGGATTTCCACCGCTTGGTAAAGTTTCAGGAGGTAGTGTCATAATTTCGCCCGCGGTCATGTTATCCTGTGCTGTGGTCGCTGCCAAGAGCAAGAGCATGAACAGGCTGGCCCTGAAGGCTTGAACGGAGGACAACATCATGGTGGAGGTGCTGTTTTCTACACAAGTCAAGGAGAAAAGTACATGTAAGTGAAAACAGGGCTCCACAAATAATTTTAAATACGGTACGGTACCAGGCTGAAGAGGTCACCTATCGTGTGTGTGAGGGAACTCACTTTTCGATTTGGCTAAGAAATTCAAAAATGCCCTGCTCGCGTCATAAAACCATTTTCCCTCCCTCATTCTTTAGAAGTCAATCTAAGGCTTGGCTTCTTCCCAACGGGCCATCAAAACGTACGTGTAGTTTCTAGCATCCAAACCATAGGAACCCAAGGCAAAGCCATCGTTCCATTCAACCAGAGCTTTCTCCGTCTCCCCGTGTTTGCTACTGAGGGAATCCATGAGCCCAAAGTCCACGCCATATGCTTTGCCGTGGCTTCTTCCGAGCCTTCTAGGTCTGCAACAGCTTTTTTGACAAATTCCAAGTCCAGCACTCCAGTTGTACCGGTATGGTCATCCGAATACTTTCGAACACCCACTATTTCCCCGTGCACACAAAATACCCGGAACTCTGCATGCCACTTGACCATCAAAGAGCACCATACCTTGCACCCCCCCCCACCCAATTACTGCACCGCCCCCCCCCCCCAACACCACCAAGCTTGCAGTGGAGATCATCCAAGGAGGCCACCATACACCCGGTAAAGGAACGGGAGTCGTAGGGCTTGACAAACAGTGGCTGGGGTAAGAATTGCCCATTGTCGCGGGCAGCTCGCTTGAGTTGTTTCACGATCGTTCGCCACACTGGTCGCTTCAGATAGGGTCTCAGTAATTCCGGATAGGAATCGCGGGATACTTCAAATTTGTGAACGCCCAATCTATCAAAGGCCTCCGCCACGACAGTGTGATTGCCAACCACCATTTTTTGAGGATGCAAGGAGAGATACTCACCAAGTTCCTCAAAGGATCTTGTTGGTATTCGCTTTGACGAAAGATCATTGCATACTTGCTCAAACTCTGGTTCAAGAGGTTCGTTTCCTTTCGCCTTCTGTACGAGCGCTGATGTAATCGGCAATCTTGAATTGCTCTTTGTATCGTTCTGGCTGAAGGATCCATTTTCATCATTCAAACCACAAGAGGCAGCGCCTCATTCGCCGTATCTGGTGCCACCCCCAGCAAGGCTGTCACTTGGTCTTGTTGAAGTCGCCATATCTCATTCAGCAGTTGTGATCTTCTACCTGTATCTCGGGCACACGTTTCGTCCATACAGGTAGACTGTGAGATCTTCACGCGATAAATTCTTGAATCGATATCTTGTGGGCTACTCGAGAGCTACTTTCAGTGACCTACAACATCAGCTCATGTGGACTGGCCTGTGACTGTGCCTATGGTGCATAAGCTTTTGATCCATAGAACCTCCATCTAAGGAGCAATCAATTTACAATAGGTTAGAGGGTGGGTAAGTGGGCTGCTTCTTCACGAAGATCGATTGATCCAAGAAAAGAACAAAAGTGAGGAATCGGGGCATAGTACAATGTATGGGCTGCAATCACGGTACAGGGGCAGCACTTTTTTGCAACGCCTGCGAAGGACACTGATTAACGACTACGTCTACCTGTATCTCGGGCACCACTTTCGTCCATACAGGTAGAACTGTGGATCTTCACGCGATAAATTTTTGAATCGATATCTTGTGGTCTACTCGAGAGCTACTTTAAGTGACCTACAACATCAGCTCATGTGGTACTGCCTGTGACTGTGCCTATGGTGCTAGAGCTAGAAGGCACACCAAGTTGGGTTTTGAAGCAGCATTACTATTGTTATTGCTCTAAAGCTCACTTGGAGTGGATCAATTTGCATAAGCTTTTGATCCCTAGCTTTTTTGTTACAGGCGCGCATTTTGAGATGTTATAGGGCTGATGGTGGATG